TCAACTGGCTTGTTTAGTTTTAATACTTGAATTAAATATTTTGAGAAGATCTTCGTTTTCAGAATGCAGGAAAACATCTCAGGTTCAAAGGGTATAAAAGGCAAGGGCAGCATTAAGAAGCGGCAAGTTATTGGCCAAACTGTAGCACAAATTTTTGCTGACTGCTGCCGATAGAAGGACTCACAGTGGATTGAGACACTTTTAATAAAATATAAATGGATAAGAAAATAAATAAAAAATACTAGTTATACTTGAGAAATTCCAGAGACTTGTTCTACATTGTCCTTTGAATAAACTTTATTTTTAATCAATTAACAAAATATTGGAACCACTGTAAGTCCCTTATCCGTTCCACTCACATTTTGGCTAAACGCCCCACTTCACTTAACTTTATTTTTCCCTTTTCCTGTTGCTTTTCAGAGCTTTTGACGTAGAAATTCTCCAGTGTTTTGCTTTCGGTCAAGTATGATTGGAATTTTATATGGCCAAAAGGTTCGACATGGACCGCCAAGCCAAAATGCCGTCAAAATGGCCAACACGTATTGAAGAGCAGCGGGTGGTGTTGGTGCAGCTTGTGAAGTGTTTGGCTTTTAGCTCTAGCCCTGGCTATGGCATTGGCGGAGAGGTGGCTTCTGGCCGTGGCTTTTGCAGAGCAAAGCAAATTGTTACCGACTCGCCAGCGATATTATTATTAATTTATGTACCGGCGACTGAGGCGGCGAAAGTTCAATCGAAATCAATAAACTAGTCACGTTTGTGGCACCCCGGCCAATTCAATCCCATCGTGGCCCGGAAATGAGCAGCAAGCTAAAATATCCATTTGCAATTTGTTGCTGCCGATTAATGAAGCTTGGACCGGACGGGAATGGAGTTGGCCGACTCGGGGGCGAAAGAAAATGGCTAATTTATGTTCACTTATCAAAATGGCGCTAATTGAAAATTAGCCTGTTATCGCGCAATTATCTGAAAGCGTCCTTTCTGCACATATGACTCCCGATTCACGATTCAGCTCTCATCTGTCAGGGGAAATTCAATTTCCATAGCCGATAGATAAGCGGCCCAAACCCAAAGATGCCGGATGAACCGGATGCTGCTGGAGGGCCATGACTGGGCCTCGAAGCCTAGTCTCTATACTCGTATATTTTGATTTGTGCGAACAGAGATTTGCCCCGCCTCTGCGGATAAACGTGGCTAAATTAAGAGACACCCCCATCTCGCCCTGGATCCAGATCTGGCCGGAGTTAATAGACCATGGACTCGTTAAATTTATGGCCAATAAGCCGGGAATCGAAACTGCGGCTACGGTTCCAGTGCGTGGCTTGTTTTCAAAATGGTATGGCGATGATATTGCAATTGCCTGAACAATGTTGAAAAGGACATGGCAGATTGCTGCCATAGATATGACTATTTAATGGGTAATGTATAGAGAAAGGACTCTAATTTAATGGTCTTAGAGTTACGCTTGATTAAGTGCAAACAAAAAACATGTAATTAAATGCTATGTAACCTCCTCATCAATTTCCGCTTCGATTATTTTAAGGGATTATTCCTATTTGTTGTTTAAAATTAAAATTTTCCCAGTGATGAATAGAAAATTATAGAGTATCCTTACTTTAAAAAATATACCAAAAAATGTTGAAACAAGTTGGAGAAATGGGTGTGGTCCTAATAAGGGTTTGGAGGATTGAAGTGGAATATCCTTCCTACAAAATGCTTCCTATTTATCCCGATACACTAATTTGTTACCCATCCTGGGGTGGCAGGAGTGTGCGTGTGGCTGGGTGTTTTTGGTGAGCCCATTTCAATTCGTATTCGGGTCTGGCAACAAATTGGACAACTTAAAGAGCCCATCAAATTAACTGCACGCATCTGTAAAACTTTCGGTCATTTTCACTTGTTCTACATACATATTTATTATTATTTTTCTTAGTTCTAGACTCGTCCTGTGTGTGGATCCTTGTGAGTGCCATTTTTTCTTCTTTTTTTGGACTGTTTGTTCTGGTCCATCTTCTCAATTTCATTTTGTCAGTTTTTGTTGAACTGGCACTGCTGACATGACATGAACTGTAGTTTATTTATTATTTCTCTGTGCCTCGGCCTCCATCTTTCTTTTCTCCATTTTATTTATATCCTTAACGCATGCAAACATTTGTATGTATGCGAATCAGGTCATACATACTATATATGTACATGTATGTATGTATGTGTTGAAGTTTATTGTCAATTGTATGTGGCATTTATTTCGCAATTGTTTTCCTTTATTTTGTCACTTTATTTGCCTGTGCCCACAGCCCCCCCGGTTTTTGTTCATTTATTTATTTATTTTATTAGTTTTTATTGCTTGACAATTTTTGGTGCATATGATATAGAGAACCACAAGTTCTTTCTTATTCCCATTTTGTTTGACTGGGAGAATTGAAATTAGTTTTTCTCAAAATAGAAAATACAATTATTTAATTTTTTAGACAAAAGGAATTCTCTTCCAGAGGCTATTTAGTATATCCTTTTCGTTTAAAGTCAGAAAGGAGTCTCCTATTATCGTAATAGTGCATTATTATGGATAGCAGTTTTCTTCAAATTACTTCTCGGCCAAGAGCTTTCGGGATAATTCATTCATCGTTTGAACATCATTTAACTGATTCAAAGTCACTTGGCATTTCAAAGACTCCATCATATGGTCTGCGCAAACACAATAAGGGTCTTTCCACAGGGATCTCCAGCCATTAACTTCCACTGCTAGCAATGGGATTGGAATCCCCTTTCACCCGAGGAGGCATTACTTTGACTGCAGCATCCAGAGGTCGGTGGACCTAGGGGGGTATGGTAAGAGAATGGGGGACGTATCAGTACAGCCATCCATCTGATGGTATTTGGTTGCCCAGTTGACTCCTTGCCCCATAGTCGATTGAGTTGGCATGCGGCACGTGCAACATGAATGGACTGGGCGCAATCGGTCGATGCATATACAGGGAGGCCTCTGCCCCAGCCGGCGAAAGCTCTTGGTGATTGGAACTGCCAAAGGGATGCACTGAAAAAAAGTAGAGATATTGGACAGTATAGTCCTGCCTCATACCTTCGTAGAGAACTAATTTTTAAGCTACCCAATTTTTTCCACTGTACAGAAAATGGTTTGATGCGAAGTGGGTGCAACTTCTACGCGTGGCTTCAACTCAATTATCAAACTTTTGGCTGGCAATTCCGCCGGATTCCGCGGAGCACCTGCAGTTGAACCCGGAGAGCCCACTCTCCGGCCGGACAGTCGACACGTGTTGGTTCGAAACAAACGGAAATGGATTTTTGATTGAGTGCACAATAAAATGTGAAATGCATTTTACACGCCAAAACAAGAGAAATACATAAAATGAAAACGTATACAACTCCGCGCCGGGAGTGGAGTTTAGTTGTGTGTATTTTAATAAATTTCTTTTGCTAAAAAAAAATAAAATAGAAAAAAACATGGAAGCTCCTCATCTCACACCAGGAAAAATCCGTTTCAATTTGGATCGAAAAGTTGGCTTTTATTTGCCAGCCCGTCTATCATGAAAGTCAATTTATTTCATTATTAAGTGCATAGGTTTGGGCGTATCCCTTCCGTGCATTTTGTCCTACTATCTGCCGGATGTATCTTCACTCCGTTAGCTCCTTTTGCTCTTCACTTTATGGCGCATATTTGGCCAATTTATTGGCCTCATGGCCAACAACAAATTGCAAACACACAATGGCGATGGAGAATTATTGCGCCGTTCATTCAATTGGATGCAATGAAAAAGTTTCTTCCTTCGACGGTTTGACTTTTTCTGCATTTATAATTGGAAATCCATAAAGGGCGGATCGTAAACTGGCCCCAGACTGAAGGGTCAGCCATAAAAGCCAGAAACATTTAAGCAGAATTAAACGATGCCCTATCCGGGATATAAAATCGATGGCGATGCATAAAAAATATTTAATTTTTCTAAGTGGCAAAATAAAAGGACTACTTATTCGGTTTTTACGCTTAGCATTAAAGTGCTATAACATCGAGTAATTCTAATAAATGAAGATTCCTCAGAAAATATGAAAACTAGACCATTAGATGCACCAAAAAATTCTGCCAAAAATATATTGCTAGATTTATAATAGTGCTGCTTGACACAAAATCAAATCGAATAAACCAAAAAGGACCTCAAAAGGAACTGAAAAGGAAGCCAAAGACAAATGCCCTCGGGACTAGCTGGCTCAGTCATGAGGAATCAGAAAACGTTGCCAATTTTCGACGATTTCCCTATGGCGATATTTGTGTAGCCAACTTCTTGGAGCAAACGCCGGCATATCGATGTCTGGCCCGGCCTGTCCTCTTCTGGCTTGGCCTGACTGTTCCGACTGAGTCCTGGTCTAGACATTGTCTAATGACAAACGCAAACCGCAAAAGATGAAGGACATTGAGGGAAACGTTATGCAAGTCAGTCGGAGCCAAGTCAAATGGAAATGTCCTGACGCTCCGTCTGGCAGCTAGATAAATAAACGGAACTTTAAATGGAAGCCAGGACTCCCTGGTTCTGGGGCTAATTCCCATCCACCAGAAATCGAAAGCGGAGCAAGGGGATTTCTTTCGATGGGCACTGGAGCGAAAGAATATCTTGATTCGAATTTCGAAATTCATAAAATGCATGCAAAATAAACCGAAAAAGTGGCGCATCATCATTATTTATTCGATTTCCCCCGCATCAATCTGACCCCCTTCATCCGAGGGCACAATCAATGACGACATCGACGTTTAAATATGAAGGGGCATAGCCATCTGAAGCCATCCAAAATTTGCATAGACCGGAGAAGAGCAGAGAAAGAGAAAAGTCGAGCCAGACTATTGAGGAATTAATATGCAAATTTCTGCCGGGAGAACTCGGCATTTCGTTTCCATTTAAGTGAAATTTCTCTAGCATCTCTAGAAACTTTGCCTTCTCAGGTATAAAATTGAAATCTCTGGCCTAAAGAAGTTTTAGTATTATTTTAAAACACGAAACATGAAGACATACTGGAGCTTGAGTTGTGGAGGTTCGTTTTTAGCGAAATTGTTTCTGTGGTTTCGGTTTAGAAAGTAAAGGAATCCTCGGAATCTACCTAAGTGAAAGAAACAGTGATATTGTTAGCCAGAATTTTCTAGGGGGACATTTTAGGGTCGGGATTCCTAGTTCTCTGAAAGTAGAATATCTGGATTCTAGAACTATCCACAAATTCCGCGAAAGGTAGCCCCTGTATCCCCTGCTGGGTTCCGATGGAAAATCTCCACAAAACCAAAAGGATCTGGCGAACGGCGCTAAGTTGGCAGCCATAATTGAGGATTAAGCGAGGACCGCTAGAACGGTGACTGGTCATAAAGCCATAAATCGGGACGGGGAAATCCCGGCGACCCGCCGCGGGCGCTGAAATCCCGAATGAAAATGAAAAGTCTGGGAACGGATAAGTTTATGACATGCACACGCGTGACCGGCACCCACTAATTACACCCGCTACCTGCCCAGGGCTTACCTGCCGGGGTGGTCCTTTTAAAAGGACTCGCCCGGAAGCATACTTCATCATTCACTCCCGAGTCGTCACACAAGCCAGATCATCGCACCATGAGCCACAAGTCGGAGAAAAAGCAATCCGGATCGGAGAAGCTGCAAAAGTTGAAGGCCATCATTTTGCTGAAGAAACAAAAGAAACGGGCCCTAAAAAAGCTAAGAAGGAAAGAAGCCGGGCCGAACTTCAGCTACCAGCTCTTCCTCTACCGCCAGGAACTGCGGCGTGCCCACTCGGACTTCTCCTACCTTCGTCTCTCAAAGGCCAAGATCAATCTTACCTCGCAACTGATTGCCAGGAATCTCGTATACGGTAAACCAATGAGCACCGTGGAGGAACTAAAGGAACTCAGTCGGGAGGTGCAGTTCAAGAAGCGTCTGGCCCACCAAGTGGAGCGTCTGCAGCAATTCCGCCAGCTGGGACTCACCGAGATGATCCTCAACGGCAAAAGGATGACTCTATAAAGGGACTACTGGGCGCATTAGACTTAGGGCCGGGCATTAGCTTATGTTAGTTGGTAGAACTTAGACTGTAATATTTTATCAAATAAAATATCACATTAAATTTTAAAAACTTTAAATTTTATGATTCAATTCCTGAACCATTTTCAGTTTGGTTTCTTTGTTTCATTTTGTGCTCTGGCCAAAATGTAACCCACACCAACGACAGCCAAGAAGCCATCAAAGTAAAGGTTCTGCTGCAGGCATCTTCTTCGAGTCCAGCTAGTTCCACTACCACAACAACGGAAAAGTCAAAGGTCAGCCCCACAGCCAAGACCTTTAAGCAGGGCCAGGAAATTGAGGAAGAGGACTACAACTTCCACACCGATCGCCTGCCCGAGTTAAGCGAAGATGAGTTCAACAACTTGAGCGAGGATGCTAATCCTTTGCACTTCCTCAAGCAACTACCTATGCAGACAGAGAACCAACAGGTGAGAAAATCTAAAAAAAAGGATGAAGATCTCTAAATTTAAAGTCATCTAAGCTGCAGGAGCCAGAAGTCCCGGTTGAGCCCAAGCCAGAAGCTCAGGCTCAGCCTAAGCCAGACACCCCAGCCCCTGTGATCCCATCACAGCCAAGTGGCTCACCTATTTACATCACAATTCCCATTTACATCAGCACGGCGGGCAAACTGCCCCTCACCCTGACCATTGGCGATCAGGAGCTGTCCTTGAACAAGATACGAAAAAAGGGAAACTCGGCTCTGGGCAGGAAACCCCCATCCACCAAGGCTCCTAATTCCCACTACAACCGGCTGCTTGAAACGCCCAAGAGGCGCACCACAAACCGCCATCGCAGTCAACTCAAGAGCCACATTTATGCCATCAAGGATCGCCAGGACTCTATGTTCAAGCCGAAACAATGAGCATTTTTCTGAATGAATTATGGCATTTAATTTTTTATAATAAATAATAAATAAATGAAAATAAATAGATTTTATGGACTTGAACTGCGGAACAGACTAGACAGCATTGCTCAGAGGGGCGGACGTGGAAGCCATCTGCTCTGGCACCTTGGCAGGCTCTGGGGTTTCCTTCTCAGGACTGGCCACAGCTTCTGTATTCTTCTCGGGCTGAGTCTCAGAGGTGATCTCTTCCTCTGGCTTCTTAATCTCTTCGCCTTCGGTTTCGGCCCCGGGAATGACGGTCACCGGAGTCTCCTCCTCGTCATCATCATCGCCGATTACTTCCTCAATAGCCTGCTGGATAAAGTGCTCGAACTGCTGGAAGTACTGCAGAGCATTGTTGGCCACCTGGGCGGTGGGCAGGTCGGTGGTAACCTTCTTTAGGGCATCCCGGATGAGGACGAGCACAGGCTTCCGGACTGGAGCAGCCGCAGTGGTGGCGTCCACCTTCTGGTCCTTGTCTGTCTCGACGGGAGTCTCGGTTCCGGTCTCCTCCTCTGGTGCTTCGGTGGTTTCCACCTCGCGACGCCTACGAATCAGCGACTCATCCTCGTCATCGTCCTCTTCATCATCATCCTCTTTAGAATCATCGGCCACCTTGTGTGAATCCTCCGTCTCCTCATCGTCGTCCGACTCCTCGCTGGTAACAGCGCTAGAGTTTTGGACTTCCTCCTCCTGAACAGCCTGCCTGGAGGCTGGGAACTCGAGACTGGAGCCTGATCCCGCCACGGGAGCTGAGCTCACGGCACAGGCGAGGCAGAGCAGAGCAGCTGTTGAGAAAACCCAGATTAGCAAACATACTCCCAGGCCTTGAGGGAATTAGCTTGTCTCACCTAAAGTCAGGTAGATGGGTCTAACCATGATGCTAATCCTTGATTTCTTGCTCTTGACTCCGTAGTGGACTTTTGCAGTTTTGCGGTCTTTATGAGCGAATCCAGCGCTCAGCTTTCGCTTTTTATAGGCCCCCCCAAAAATGAAAGTAAATGCGCGGGTAAACAAGGCGCTGGGGGCTCCGATCCCAGCGATCTCAAAGATGAGGTCTCTGGAGCGGACTGGCTGCAACTCAAGCTCTCTTTCTAGGGTTTCTTTCTCCGCCCTCTCAGCAGCCCATCTCGTTTCATTTCTTTCTTCGTTTGACTTTGACTTCTTTTGTTTACTCGGGTCTCGAGACGCCATACGCAGATCCCCAAAAGAAACCGAAATCATTTATTTAAATTTTCGGTCTGTCTGCTTTCTGGCAACTTCTTTCATAAATTGGTTAATTTGTGTCCAAAGACCTGGGTCTCGCTCGGATCTGTTTGCCAGAAATATTAGCGAGGCCCGGCTCAACTCCGGGTCTGACATGCAAAACCGCTTACAAGATCACTTGGTCTTCCGAGTTGGGGGAGCTGGTCGGCCAGCAGCCCAATTATGTAATTGGACACGCTCCAGCAGAGACGATCTAATCGAACCCCCTCATACCATCTAGCAATGCATCACAGATCGGATAACTTTCTAATGCTAATGGGAAATTTGAAAACTTTTCCATGGAACTACGTTTTAAAGTCAACAAGAAGTGATAACGAGGAAGATGATTCATCAAATCCACGGTGGTAATAATAAATGCAATTATGGATGGATTTCAAAAGATGGTACCCCTAACCTTATAGACAAAACTTCGAAACTCTGCGGTTAGGATCATCTAGAAAGAAGACTCAATCCACGACTCTTCAATAAAAACCACAATTACAATTGATGGAAGTTTTTGAAGACTGTAGCAGATCAAAGATCATCAGCATCGTATATCGTCAGAAGAGAACACTTAATTGGACGCGGATTTCCTGAAAGCGATGGCCAGCAGAAGAACCTCGTAAAATAACAACCAGATCACCGAACCTTTCCAGATTGACCCAATTTCAGAGAACCGGATCGCTGGAGAGACTGTCAAGCTTGGGCGACTGGGAGTGGGATTGGGCCTCGAATGGAGGGCACCAAAGGTGTTAAACACACAACCAGTTCCATGTCCGAGAAATTCTAGATGGCCATTTCAAGTGTGAGTGGACAGTCGGAAAGGGCAGGCCCACACCACATGAGTTTGCATAAAATTTCACCAATATGATACCAAAACTTTGCGTACTTTCGTTTCGGGGGAATCCGAGGGGAATAGACATCTCGAAGCTGCGCGAAGTGTAAACAAACCCGGAGAAGAACCGGGCTGGCCAAGAAGAGAGTTGCAGTATCAAGAAAACCGGTAAGAGCGAAAAGAATTCCCCGTCGAGAGGAGAAGACTGGTACTTAAGTCGGTGCCTGCTACAAGATGTGATCAGTTGTTTTGGAAACCAGCAGCTGACCGAAGCAATATGAGACCATACCCAGCTATCTGTATCGTAGGTAAGGCATCTAAATCAGGTCAAATCAGGGATCAGAGCCTATATCCTATTATACCTTCTGGTTTTACCTTTTTCCAGTGGCTGCTTTCCTGCTTTTGGGAGCAGCTCCCGCCGAGGCCAAGCGCCGCAAGCACAAGGGCTCCGACCACCACCACCACGACCATGAGAAATCCGATCCCCACAAGACTAAGACCAAGACCAAGTGGTCTACTTCCACGGATCTGGCTGCCAATAGTCAAGTGTCCACGGAGGAGCACGGCTACTATGTGAAGCGCACTTATGCGCCATCCGAGGAGGCCCAGGGCCGAAAGCGTCTGAGTCCTCCGTATCTGGCCATTCCCATCGCCTGGTTCAGCTGTGAGTCCTCCGACCAGAAGCAGTGTCTTACCTCCAACTCCGCGGCCATTAACAGCGCCGCTCAGTCCCTGAGCGAGGGATACCTCTGCGACGACGACTGCGAGGACCTGTACGAGCCCATTTGCGGCAAGACCAATTCCGAGGTGGCCGTTTTCTACAGCCAGTGCAAGCTGAACGTGGCCAAGTGCCGATCCCACGGCCTCTGGACGGAGTTGCCCTACGCCGAGTGCCAGGCCAAGTACCCCACGGAGACCGCCTATGCTGACAAGAAGTTCCGGGCGTCCCCCTATTTCCGAGACCTTGCCCTGGTGGAGCAACAGAAACTGCTGGAGGAGCAGCGCCGGGCCGAGGAGGAGAAGGAGAAGCTGGAGAAGGAGCAAAAGAAGCGCGAGAAGGCCGAGAAAAAGAAGAAGGAGAAGGACAGCAGCGAAAGCAGCGAGGAGAAGGAGGATGAAAAGGGTGACAAGCCATTGAAGGATGAGCTCCCGACTCTGCCTTTGTTGCAGAATCATAAGCCCGTCGAAGCTCCTTCGAACGTGCCAGTGGCAGTTGCAGTACCAACTCCAATTGCTGCTCCAGTTGCTGTTCCTGCCATGGTAGAGAAAAAGCACGAGCCCATTGCCCTGCCTCCCATGCCCATGAAGGAAGTGCCCAGCCACAAACCCATTGCCATTGCCATGGTCGAGGCTATTCCCCCGAAAGTGCAGGCCCCACCCAAGGCCAAAGAGGACGACAGGCTCAAGTACACGGTGGCATAAACTAGAAATAAGATCTCATCTAAGAAAATGTATTTATTTTAATTTATTTAAATAAAAAACTTAAAATTTAACAATGCTTGTTTTGGGGGTAACTAAAATAATCTTCAATTTAATGGGTTATTTTTTAGATAGACTGTTATGATTTGTGCGTCATGCATAATGCTTTCTCAGGGTAGTTGTTTTTCGGAGAAAGCAGCTTTATTTTTTCTGCAAATAAAGGCAAGCAGAATTTGTTTTTATTGACTTTAAAAATAATCAAGATCATCATAAAAAGATTTCTAGAAATATTTTATTTTTTCTTCTAATCTTATAAAAATTTGCAATATTACTTTTAGAGTTTTATAAACCTTTAGCCTTACTAAAGGATCTCTTAAGTTAACTGGCTTACATCTTATTTTAAGAAAATACTGCCATAGAACTATACCGGATTTCCAACAGTGTTAAGGGTATTATATCCTCCATAAAACAAATTTAAAATAAACCCATTTCTTGCAATTAAAATATACTACTTCTTAAGTTTTTCCAAGCCCATGATCATCGTCTCCCTTTGGACTTTTACGAGTCTTAGGCTGATGCAGCTTCTGTTAGGTGCATTGAACTTTGAAACAAGTTCTATAAACTGATTGACAGCGATATCAAAGCTTGGAAGGGCCATCATCCGGAGGCCAGAGCACTAAACCCAAAAACTAAGTGGGCGTGGGATGGATGGACAGTGCAACAGGTTGCCGCCAGCTGCCTATAAAAGCTGCAAGATGTGTGTCAGTAAATCACAGAAGTGACCCAACTGCAAAGGGATCCAGAAGTGCAGACATGTGGTTCTTAAAGCTTCAGCTATTGATCTTACTAAGTGCAGGTGAGTTACAGAATCCTTCAAATTAAAGCGATTTCTTAAAGAATTCTTTTTTCAGGCTTGCTAGCCATTCAAGCTGCTCCTGCGGAAGTAGCGGATGAAGTAACACATCCTCCTCCCGAACAGCTGCAGACAGAATCCCGATCTCGCAAGGACGATGTCCTGGACGTAGAGGACGACCTGGATGGACGCAGTGCTTATGTGAATAACCAGTTTGTTCCCAGCGAGCCGGTGGAAGTGGTGGACGATGAGCAGAATGCCCCGCTCTACGAGATTCTTCAGAAGCAAATGGAGCAGGTCCTGGCCTCCACAAGTCCCAATGATCCAATCTATGAGCAACGCGAAAAACAGGAGCGTCGCGATCAGCAGCAGCCACCCCACCAAGCACCCCTATTTTCTGGAGGAAATCGGGAGGATAACGATCTGCAGGACGATTACGACGACGAGGAGGATCAAACAGACCAGGGATATCCGGATGACCCTGAGAAACCAGACGCAGTGCCTGCTTCTGAGGAGGAGGATCAGCCAGAATCCGGCTACCAGGCACCACAGCTGAACAAACCCATCAGTACCACTCGTAGGCCCAACAAAAGACGAACCACGTCTCATCCCAGAACCTCGAGGCCAAAGTCCTCCGTTTCATCCAGGACTACTGCAGCTCCGTTGAATCAAACCAGCACCACCGAGTCACCAATAACTAGCAGTACCACCACCACCCACCGCCCGAAGACCACCACAACTTCCAAGCCTAACAGCCTTCCCAGTGATCCTCAGGTGTACCAGCACAAGCGGCGCATCATCTTCAAGACCATTTCCACGGGCTCCCAGTTTGTCAACTCGCCCATTGGCGACCTCATGATCAAGTTCTCCATCGGATTTGCCAAGCCAACTGCTCCAGGTGCAGTTCCTAATCCCTCAAACGAGGCACTTCGGGCTCTATCCAATAACATTTTAAGAAATCTTGAACTTCAAAAGCTAAAGAGAGCTAATAAATTGCAAAAGGAATAAATAATATATTTAAATAAAATATTTGTGTTAATTTCTGCGAGGTATAAACCTGTTTTTAATTTTTGAATTTTTCTTTCAGAATTTTGTGATTTTTTTTGAAAATTTCTAGGAAATGAAACCAAATATCGATGTTTATTCAACAATATTACATTTGTGAAAACTTTCGACCTTGAAAATTATTATTAGAGTCGATATTTAGTTTATTATTCTTGGAAAAATTAAAGCATCGTCTGCACCGCTATTTGAAATTCTACTTTTCTTGAAGTAGAAATTTTTCATCTTTCGAATAATTATAAAGTAGTTTTAACAACGTATGTATGATGTCAACATGTGGGTTATTTAATGGAATTCTAAATCTATAAATTAAATGGACAGTCGTTGAGGCTTTTATGTATCGATATGAGTTGTAGCATTCCCAGCCAATCTGTGCCATAATATATGTTCGTTTCGAGTCTTTTAGTATGTTAGTTCGCTTGGCGTTATGGAAGCTTTACAAAAATATATATATGTACTCCTAATCCTAGAGCATAACAGGCAACGAGCTTTAGCGCACAGGCCAGAATTTCTGGGCTAAAAGGGGTATGGTGACGCCAGTGACTATGCTGGATATTAGATTAACGCTGTGGTTGTCCAGAATGCGTAGTCCGCTTACGTGTCGCACGCCTTTTCCAGGAGCATCTACAATCTTTCCGTCGGCATTGATGCCCGAAAACTGTAACAGGCCGCCCAAAACCGAATCGAGGAGCGATCCAAAGAGCCCGGCAATGCCGCCAAACAGGATAATGGGCCATTGGGGCGGGCTCACCAGTAGCATCTTTGACTCTACAGTGTAGCGCACAGTGACAAAGTAACCGAAGCCAACCAGTAATCCGCCCAGCAGGCTGACCACGATCCCGGGCAACGAGACGCCCCCGTTGGTTCCGCGTGGCACTCTCCGCCAGGTAATTATAGACACGGGATCTCGCCGAGAGAGCACACTTCCCAGCTCGCTGGACCAGGTGTCTCCGTTGCAGCAGGCAAATGCGCTCAGCACGCCCACGCCCAGCCAACTGGATCGGTACTCCCGGGCAAAGTCGATCGCCCTCTCACCACTGCCACAGTCGAGGAGGTAAAGGAGTGCCAGTTGGGCGGCCATGCCACCGTTGCACAGCACCTGGACCCAGTTACGTTGGCCTTCGCCTTCCCGAAAGTCACTTTCAAAGCGGCGCTTCATGTTCGACCGGAACTTGGTGGCACGGGAGGAGCTGAAGAAGAAGACAACCAGGCTGGCGAAGAACGGGTGACTGGCCACAGACAGGATAAAAGCCACCAAAATGCCAAGAGCTGCACCGGATCGGTTTACGGAGCCTCTCTTCAACGCCACGGTCATCAGGGCCAGGGGGGAAAGTATGGAGAAGAGCCAGCGCGCCGGCGAGATCACCCTTGACTCTGTGGGGCAGTTAGATAACCTTTAGCTTGAATGCACCTGGGCGTTAATTGGATTTTGATCTCACCTTCGAACTCGCCGCTCCAGAACTTCGATAACGCCACGTTTCCCAGCCACATGAAGAGCGAGAGGGGCACGGAGAGCCCGCAGAAGAGTATGGGCATCCAGTCTCGCATTGTAATTCTCCGTCTGGGAATGCAATCAGTTGTTTAATGCCCTCCAGCGGGCACTTTCACCGCTGGCATTTGTTTATTTTATTGTATGCGCAGCTTAGAGATGGCAGTGCCGGCGTATAAGGTTTCCTATGTCTATCGGCTAAAAACTATCGCCGATTTTTTGGTATTTTACAACCCTTAAATTTTGCCAACTTCTTTAAAATGGTTCTTTTACAACACCTTGGCGGAAAATTCAAAATTTGTTCGTATTCGTATGTCATAAATTATATTTATAGTAAGAAAGAATGTCTAAAAGGCGCTTAACTATTACAAAGTGTAAATGCCCTCCAAACGCCGCACTCGCTCGTCTAGCAACTTCAGCATCTCATTCATCTCCTCCAGTTGGGCCTCGCACGAGCAGGCGGACTCCGAGGCGGATTCGAGGGACACGTCCACCACCTGTGGGAGGTTCATCAGGTTATGTGCGGCAAGGCTACTCAGGTATTTTTTTGTTTTGTTTAAAAAAGGCGCGGACTGGCGCTTCGGGGATTGAGGTCCAGGTCCTGGGGGGACGGTGTCAAGTGTCGGCTGTCAAGCACCTGGAAATCCTCATCCAAGGCCTGGTAGGCCAGAGACTGGCGTGGATCGATGCGGATGCTCAGGTCGTTGGACTTTGCGTCGCTAGCATTGCTCTGCTTGGTGGAAGATGCGGCACTGGTGTCGCAGCCCGATGATGCCAAGGCAGACTTGGTCTCGAATTGGGATGCGTCGTAGGTGTGCAAGTTGGACTGCCAAACCAGTAGCTGCAGGATTAAATAATAATTATAATAACCTCTCATATTAAGTGGCCCAAAAGCTACAAGTTGAAACCTACCTGTTTATCGTTTCCAGCTGTGGCAAATTGTTCTCCATCCTTTGTAAAAGCCACCGCATTTACTGCGTCAGTGTGTCCGGTAAGCGTATAAATTGGTCGCCCCTCTAGCAAATCCAGGATCCGGATGGTGTGGTCATCGCTGCCCGACAGCAGAAAATGTCCGCCCGGATGGAAGGCCACATCGTTCACAGGCGCCGAGTGAACCACGTACAGCTGAAGCAGCTGGCTGGCGCTCACGTCAAAGATTTTAATGCGGTTACAGCCGAGGGCCACGGCCACCATATTGCCCCACGGGTGCCAGGCAACTTGGCGGGGCGCGGCCCTCTCCTCTGTGAATGTGCGGACGCACTCGCCGCTTCCCACGTCGTAGATGCGGAGCGATTTGTCGTCGCTCACAGTGGCCACCAGCTTTCCGTTGGGACTGAACTTTGCCGAACGCACCCAGTTGCATTGCTGGGTGAAGGAGGCGATGAACTGACGCCTGGCCACGCGCCACAGCTTGACGCTCTTATCGTCGGAAGCGGTCAGCAGCTGGTGTCCTGTCGGATCGAAATCCACGCTTCGCACTGACTTGCTGTGCGCCACAAACTCACCGGAGACGCCGCGAACCTTGGGCTCCCATATCTTCACTGTTCGGTCATGACCAGCAGAGGCTATTAGGTTACCCTTTGGGGACCAGGCCACACCGTTCACCGTACCGGAGTGCGATCCGAAGCGAATGCAGCGTGCCGCCTGCTTCAGGTTCCAAAGAATCACGGATGAGTCCATTGAAGATGTCGCTATCTGACTCCCGTCCGGGCTGAAGCGAAGTTGTGTGATACCACCCGAGTGTCCCGTGAAGTGGCGTTCCAAAGCCGGGTCGCTGAAAAGGCCTTGCATCTCGGTTCTCATTGCTTTGTCAAAAAAAAAATGATATTTTCACACAAAACTCGTTGAATTTGCCGCTGGAGTTTGAAAATTGAAAACTGCGTCGCCAAGCCAACCCTGCAGTGTGACCAAAACACGAAATATTTATCACCGACTAGTAGGCGTTACTAAGCACGGTCACACTAAAATCGATATAAATTTATAAAAATTCATAATTTTTTAAAATTTGGGAGAAAATATTTAAAAAAATATATGTTTTTTCAATAAAACATTAAATAACAGTCGGAAAATGTCAACCCAATGTTAAAGCTCATTAAAAACACGTATTTGGACATGTTTCCAACACTGAAACAGCGCTATTAGATCACTTCACGTATAAGAGCAAATTGCGTGGCAAATTCTTGTTTATTTTTACAAAAGTCAGAGCGCTGCTCCGATCAATTAAAGTGCCATAATTGTGTAATAGTTAATTAATTTTATTCGATTCCCCACCATGCGAAGACAATGGCTCGGGGTACTGGGGCGTTTCCTAGGAGGTCCAGCTCCTCTGGGCTATGTGGCCGGCGTTGATAGAGGGTGAGTCTTGAAAACTAGGATTTCCCTGAAAACCTCTTCATTTCAATTGTTTATTTTCGATTTTAGTGCCACTAGCTTCACCACCCGATCTGATATGCGCCTGCGGCTTAGCTCCAGTGCCTTCACATGCCGAAACTACTCCGAAGTCAGCACTCACCTCAGTTCGGAACGGGCCACGGAACTGCTGGGAAACCTGGACGATGAGGAGCTGAAGAATCTGCGTGGTGCCTTGGGAAAATTGGACTCCGACAAGGAGAAGAAAAATTTCGAAAGCCAGCTAGCCGTGGGCAGTTGGCGTACTCGATTTGGACGACTCTCGAACAAGCCCACATTGGGTCAGGTGGATACTTCCGGGACCTTTTGTGCCATCCCAGACGATTGGCTGCGGAAAAAACTGTTGGAAACTGCACCCTCCCCTACAGTTGGACAATTGTGCAGCATATTTTTTGTTAATGCTGTACCCTTTGTTGCGTTCGGATTCCTCGACAACTTCATCATGATAATGGCAGGAGAATCCATCGAATTCTATTTGGGCCACTTTGTTGTTTTGTCCACAATGGCAGCCGCCGGTCTGGGCAACACCATCAGTGATGTGATAGGAATAATGACCGCCACCTATGTGGAGAGCGGATGTGAAATTTTAGGCCTGAAACCGCCTAAGCTAACGCCCGCCCAGTTCGAGCTGAAGTCCAGCAAAAGATCCGCCAGTTATGGTCGCGTGATAGGCATTACTGTCGGCTGCCTTTTGGGCATGTGTCCGTTGTGGCTTTCGGACGACAAAAAGGAGGAGGTCACGGAGAGTACTGTGGCTGTGACTGATTGAAGTGCCTTCGAGTAGTATCAAGATCAGGGTATTGGTCTACAGGAATATGGATAACGAAAATTGAAAGCCTACAGGGACAAAAAAATAGGGAATAATTCTAAAATAATGACGCGGAAAGGTACTTAGCTGAATGCGTTTGGGCAAGTCGATCTCGTGTGACTGCTTTAAACAACAAATAGGAAGCTGCCAATAAATCAGGTTACGAAGCTCAAGAAAGTCCTTACAAAGGAACCATGGGAATCCCCGTACTCCACAACACGGAAATGGTCTTCAATTGCCTTCAGAGACTAAACCTTAAGTCGAACGAGTCTGACCTATCCTAATGCTGTGCAAATAACTTAACATTAGATCAGTATTCCATTTTTAAGTGTTCCATATAAATATTTGTATATCATGAAGAGACCACTTTATTTTAACTTTTTAAAGGACTACTAATAACCTGAAACCCGGTTCGTCCCCGGTTCTTGTATGGGGAGACCCAAGTTTTTATCTGTATATACCGCTTAGCCTGATTAAATTATTTTGAAATAAATCTAATTAATAACAATGACAATTGTGGTTTTTAATTCATCCTCCATAAATTTGTTTCAAATCAAAGATCGATAGATCTAAAATCGATAGATCTTAGATTAATTCTTAGTTTTTATGTCGAAAAGCCAATTTATTCGGTTTTTTGTTGAATTTCTAGGATATTATCTTCAAAAACTGTGAAAAATGCGCTTCATATATTGGAGGGCCAATATAAGCTACTGCGGGAGCTAATCATGGCCGAAGCGGGGTACCTTTATTATTTTTCGGATCGATTCTCCACTAAACTGCTTTGGAACCTGGAAAATCTGATCAAAAATAATTTTTTCGATTAGATGTACAATTTTTTGAGGGAAATTAGGTATTTTTAAATTCTAAAATTTTCGTTACACGACTGGAGATTTTTTACCAGAACTTTTTTTTAATAATTGGTTTTTTATATATGTTAAAAAATAAACTCAAAGATCATACAGAGGGTTAAACATGAAATTCAGGGCTGAATAAACTGAATAGGGTTGCCAAATCAAGCAAAACTCCATTTTTGGTATTTTTTAGGACATTACTTCTAGGAGAAATAAAAAGAAGAAGAATTGATTGTTTTCTTTTATGATAACAAACGAAAACCTAAATAAAATTAATTAAAAGACGGGAAATTCACGATGGAAGCCCAACCTGAGGTGCCGGACCTACCACTGCGTCCATTCAAATTATAAGTATTACACCTATTTTCGTATTATCATAAAATAATGTCCCTCCTTTTCAAACAGTACGGCGCATCAGGTTGTTAGCCTCACCGGAATTAGTTTTGAGAGAAAAAGCATTATTGTAAGGACTAAACACAAATATACCTATTTGGAAGGCATTCCCATTACAATTTTTCATTTTTAGGGAGTGGTAGAGCTTACGATTGTGCCGAATAGTGAAGGCCTGCGACTCATCCGCTTGAATGCAAAGCAGCTTCGAATTTATACCGTCGTTCTCAATGATGTCTGCCAGGCGGAGTTCGTCTATTTCGATCCCTTCCAGGATATCTCGCACAAGGAACCGAAGAGCCGTTCGCTGGAGACCTACTCAAAGCAGCATCTTACTGCTGCCCAGCTCACCGACCCAGATGCAAATAATGGAGAACTTCTAATCATTGTGCCGCCCGAGGGTTATTCCATGATCCAGGAGGGTCAAGGCCTGCGTGTTCGCATCGAGTTCTCGCTGGAGACACCCAAAAGCGGTGTACACTTTGTGATTCCGCCATCGTCCATGGACGAGGAAACGCAGCAGAACTGTTCGCATATGTTTACGAATTGCTACGAAAACTCAACCAGATTGTGGTTTCCCTGCGTTGACAGCTTTGCAGATCCGTGTACGTGGCGCTTGGAGTTCACGGTGGACAAGAACCTGACTGCAGTTTCGTGTGGAGAGCTAGTGGAGGTTGTGATGACCCCCGATCTAAGAAAGAAAACGTTTCACTACACGGTCACCACTCCAGTTTGTGCTCCGAACATTGCCCTGGCTGTGGGGCCCTTCGAAATCTATGTAGATCCGCACATGCACGAGGTGACTCACTTTTGCCTCCCTGGAATGCTGCCGCTCCTGAAGAACACCGTCAGATATCTGCATGAAGCGTTTGAGTTCTTCGAGGAGACGCTCTCAACCCGTTATCCGTTCTCCTGCTACAAACAGGTGTTTGTAGATGAACTGGACACGGACATAAGTGCCTATGCCACCATGAGTATTGCTTCGGTGAATCTCCTGCACTCCATAGCCATCATAGACCAGACGTATGTATCTCGAACATTTATGTCGCGCGCCGTAGCGGAGCAGTTCTTTGGTTGCTTCATTACCTCCCATCACTGGTCGGACACCTGGCTGGCCAAGGGAATCGCCGAGTACCTTTGCGGGTTGTATTCCCGCAAGTGTTTCGGCAACAACGAGTACCGCGCATGGGTTCAGAGTGAATTGGCCCGGGTTGTGCGCTACGAGGAGCAGTACGGTGGAATAATCCTCGACTGCAGCCAGCCGCCAGCCCCCCTGCCTGTTTCGAGTACCAATCCAGCAGCAGCTGCTAGCAAGCAACAGGAGATCGTCCACTACTTTCCCATTAAAAGTTTGCACACCGTCTCTCCCAAATATGTGGAGGCCATGAGAAGGAAGGCGCACTTGGTCATCCGGATGTTGGAGCACCGCATCGGGCAGGAGCTTCTTATCCAGGTGTTCAATAAGCAATTGGCTTTAGCCACCAATGCGGCGTCCACAAAGATTGGTGCTGGTCTCTGGTCGCAGCTTTTGATATCCACGAACATATTCATAAAGGCAATTTTCACCGTAACTGGCAAGGACATGTCTGTGTTTATGGATCAGTGGGTGCGAACTGGCGGGCATGCCAAGTTCTCCCTCACATCGGTGTTCAACCGCAAGAGGAACACCATCGAACTGGAAATACGCCAGGACTTTGTCAATCAGCGGGGAGTGAGGAAGTACAATGGGCCGTTGCTGGTCCAGCTACAGGAGTTGGACGGTACCTTCAAGCACACCTTGCAAATTGAAAACACCCTGGTGAAGGCAGACATCACCTGCCATTCGAAGAGCAGGCGAAACAAAAAGAAAAAGATTCCCCTCTGCACAGGCGAGGAAGTGGACATGGATCTCTCGGCTATGGAGTAAGTTGTTCGATACTTTATTAGAACTTTTCATCATTTAACTTATTTTATAGCGATTCACCTGTACTTTGGATTCGCCTGGACCCTGAAATGATTCTGATGCGGGATCTCATTATTGAGCAGCCAGATTTTCAATGGCAGTACCAGCTCCGGCACGAAAAGGATGTAACGGCCCAATTCCAGGCCATACAGGCTCTGCAAAAGTATCCAACAAACGCCACTCGATTGGCCCTAACCGACACGATTGAGAGCGACCGGTGCTTTTACAAAGTGCGTTGCGAGGCGGCCCACAGCCTAACCAAAGTGGCCAACCAAATGGTGGCCTCGTGGAGCGGACCACCAGCTATGCTCAACATATTTAGGAAGTTTTTTGGCTCCTTTAGTGCTCCGCACATCATTAAGCTGAACAACTTTTCCAACTTTCAGCTTTATTTTCTGCAGAAGGCGATACCTGTGGCTATGGCAGGTGGGTTTCATGAATCCTACTCTAATTTCAAATACTAATCTTTTTTTTGTTTAGGCCTGCGCACCTCCCATGGCATCTGCCCGACGGAAGTAATGCGCTTTCTCTTTGATCTCTTCAAGTACAATGAGAACTCCCGAAACCACTACACAGATGCTTACTACAGAGCCGCCTTGGTGGAGGCACTAGGTGAAACGTTAACGCCTGTGGTTTCTGTGGCCATTCACGGCACGCAGATCACCACAGACAGTCTTTCCACAGATGCCAAGTATGATTATTCAATAGACAACCGAAAAGAGCTTCTGAACTATTAACCAACCCATTCTTTCAGGCTGGTGCTCGACGAAGTGACTCGCTTGCTGAACATGGAGAAGCATCTGCCCTCGTACAAGTACATGGTGTCTGTTTCCTGTTTAAAAGTCATTCGAAAACTGCAAAAGTTTGGACACTTGCCATCGCTTCCACATATTTATCGCAGCTATGCGGCGTATGGAATTTTTCTGGATCTGCGAATCGCTGCCATGGAGTGTCTAGTGGATTTCGTCAAAGTAGATGGCCGAAGCGAGGATCTGGAGCATTTAATCACACTGCTGGAAACCGATCCCGACCCAGCGGCCCGGCATGCACTAGCTCAACTCCTGATCGACAATCCGCCGTTCACTCGTGATTCTCGCAGTCGCTTGGACAAGCCCGACCTGGTCGATCGCCTTTGGTTGAGCATCAACACGTTGGCGTACGACACCAAGCTGCGTTGCGACATCGTGGATTTGTATTATGCATTGTATGGAAGCAAGCGTCCCAACTGCCTGCAGGCCAACGAAAATCAGAGTTTCTACAAGGACCTGATGAAGGACAATAGCAGCGGCGCTGGTACTAGTAGCACACCCAGCTTCAAAAAGAATAGCAGTGATCCGAAGGCCACCGTAACGTCTGCATCCGACGGGATTAGCATGGAAAGCGAGCCACATAAACCAGCCATGGTCACCATCAAGCGAACGGCCACCGAGGCATTCGAAGTCGGTGATGAGATTATCAAACTGGAACGCAGCGAGGAGATCACAGTCCTCGATGAACCGATGGATGTTGAAGCCTTCGACAGCGAGACTAAGCTGAATGTGCTCCCAGCAGGCGACGGTGGACCAGAGGGTCACCAGCAAATTAAGAAGACGAAGACGGAAATATTTGCCGAGGATGACAACGCATCCATGGCCATGGATGTGACCGAGTCCACGAGATACGAAAGCAGCTACGAGGATGGCAAGTTCAAGCCAGGCGATGGCTCCATTAAAAAGAAAAAGAAGAAGGACAAAAAGAAGCACAAGCACAAACATAAGCACAAGCACAACAAGGACAAGGATCGTGAGAAGGGAGAGCGCAAAGACAAGGATAAGCGCGATCCACAGATTTCCCGCCTCCAAGCTCGGGAGGCAGCCACTCCCGATACACTGAGCTCGGCGGACAGTAGCAACAGCAATAGCAATCCCCCCATTGGCCTTCCCTAAGCTCCAAAGTATATGTAATTAAATTTGTGTCGAATTTTCTGATCCTATTAAAAATTGTGGATCGATTCTGAATCAATCTGCATAATAACCTTACCATTTTTTAAATTTTTTGTCTGAGGGATTCCCTGAAAAATGTATGGGGAAGCTATATCTTGGCCAATACTCATCCGATTCTCAAATGGGATACCTTTAACGATTTGTGGAGCGATTCTGCATTAATCTGCAGCAAAATCTGGAAGCAAAATATTTTTTCGATTTTTTGTTGATTTTTCTGGGGTGTCCCCTTCAAAAACTGAGAAAATGCATGGAAGGCCCATATGAGCCACTGTGGAAGCTATATCTTGCCCAATACTCATCCGATTCTCAAATGGGATACCTTTAACGATTTGTGGAGCGATTCTGCATTAATCTGCAGCAAAAACTGAGAAAATGCATGGAAGGCCCATATGAGCCACTGTGGAAGCTATATCTTGCCCAATACTCATCCGATTCTCAAATGGGATACCTTTAACGATTTGTGGAGCGATTCTGCATTAATCTGCATCAAAATCTGGAAGCAAAATATTTTTTCGATTTTTTGTTGATTTTTCTGGGGTGTCCCCTTCAAAAACTGAGAAAATGCATGGAAGGCCAATATGAGCCACTGGGGAAGCTATATCTTGGCCAATACTCATCCGATTCCCAAATGGAATACCTTTAACGATTTGTGGAGCGATTCTGCATTAATCTGCATCAAAATCTGGAAGCAAAATATTTTTTCGATTTTTTGTTGATTTTTCTGGGGTGTCCCCTTCAAAAACTGTGAAAATGCAGGTTAGGCCAATATGAGCCACTGGGGAAGCTATATCTTGCCCAATACTCATCCGATTCTCAATTGGGATACCTTTAACAATTTGTGGAGCGATTCTGCCTTAATCTGCATCAAAATCTGGAAGCAAAATATTTTTTCGATTTTTTGTTGATTTTTCTGGGGTGTCCCCTTCAAAAACTGTGAAAATGCAGGTTAGGCCAATATGAGCCACTGGGGAAGCTATATCTTGGCCAATACTCATCCGATTCCCAAATGGAATACCTTTAACGATTTGTGGAGCGATTCTGCATTAATCTGCATCAAAATCTGGAAGCAAAATATTTTTTCGATTTTTTGTTGATTTTTCTGGGGTGTCCCCTTCAAAAACTGTGAAAATGCAGGTTAGGCCAATATGAGCCACTGGGGAAGCTATATCTTGCCCAATACTCATCCGATTCTCAATTGGGATACCTTTAACAATTTGTGGAGCGATTCTGCATTAATCTGCATCAAAATCTGGAAGCAAAATATTTTTTCGATTTTTTGTTGATTTTTCTGGGGTGTCCCCTTCAAAAACTGAGAAAATGCATGGAAGGCCAATATGAGCCACTGTGGAAGCTATATCTTGCCCAATACTCATCCGATTCTCAAATGGGATACCTTTAACGATTTGTGGAGCGATTCTGCATTAATCTGCATCAAAATCTGGAAGCAAAATATTTTTTTCGATTTTTTGTTGATTTTTCTGGGGTGTCCCCTTCAAAAACTGAGAAAATGCATGGAAGGCCCATATGAGCCACTGTGGAAGCTATATCTTGCCCAATACTCATCCGATTCTCAAATGGGATACCTTTCACGATTTGTGGAGCGATTCTGCATTAATCTGCATCAAAATCTGGAAGCAAAATATTTTTTCGATTTTTTGTTGATTTTTCTGGGGTGTCCCCTTCAAAAACTGTGAAAATGCAGGTTAGGCCAATATGAGCCACTGGGGAAGCTATATCTTGGCCAATACTCATCCGATTCCCAAATGGAATACCTTTAACGATTTGTGGAGCGATTCTGCATTAATCTGCATCAAAATCTGGAAGCAAAATATTTTTTCGATTTTTTGTTGATTTTTCTGGGGTGTCCCCTTCAAAAACTGAGAAAATGCATGGAAGGCCCATATGAGCCACTGTGGAATCTATATCTTGCCCAATACTCATCCGATTCTCAAATGGGATACCTTTAACGATTTGTGGAGCAATTCTGCATTAATCTGCATTAAAATCTGGAAGCAAAATATTTTTTCGATTTTTTGTTGATTTTTCTGGGGTGTCCCCTTCAAAAACTGAGAAAATGCATGGAAGGCCAATATGAGCCACTGGGGAAGCTATATCTTGGCCAATACTCATCCGATTCCCAAATGGAATACCTTTAACGATTTGTGGAGCGATTCTGCATTAATCTGCATCAAAATCTGGAAGCAAAATATTTTTTCGATTTTTTGTTGATTTTTCTGGGGTGTCCCCTTCAAAAACTGAGAAAATGCATGGAAGGCCAATATGAGCCACTGTGGAAGCTATATCTTGCCCAATACTCATCCGATTCTCAAATGGGATACCTTTAACGATTTGTGGAGCGATTCTGCATTAATCTGCATCAAAATCTGGAAGCAAAATATATTTTCGATTTTTTGTTGATTTTTCTGGGGGTGTCCCCTTCAAAAACTGTGAAAATGCATGGAAGGCCTATATCAGCCACTGGAAAAGCTATATCTTGGCCAATACGTATCCGATTCTCAAATGGCTCACCTTTAACGATTTGTGGAGCGATTCTGCATTAATCTGCATCAAAATCTGGAAGCAAAATATTTTTTCGATTTTTTGTTGATTTTTCTGGGGTGTCCCCTTCAAAAACTGAGAAAATGCATGGAAGGCCAATATGAGCCACTGTGGAAGCTATATCTTGCCCAATACTCATCCGATTCTCAAATGGGATACCTTTAACGATTTGTGGAGCGATTCTGCATTAATCTGCAGCAAAAACTGAGAAAATGCATGGAAGGCCCATATGAGCCACTGTGGAAGCTATATCTTGCCCAATACTCATCCGATTCTCAAATGGGATACCTTTAACGATTTGTGGAGCGATTCTGCATTAATCTGCATCAAAATCTGGAAGCAAAATATTTTTTTCGATTTTTTGTTGATTTTTCTGGGGTGTCCCCTTCAAAAACTGAGAAAATGCATGGAAGGCCAATATGAGCCACTGGGGAAGCTATATCTTGGCCAATACTCATCCGATTCCCAAATGGAATACCTTTAACGATTTGTGGAGCGATTCTGCATTAATCTGCATCAAAATCTGGAAGCAAAATATTTTTTCGATTTTTTGTTGATTTTTCTGGGGTGTCCCCTTCAAAAACTGTGAAAATGCAGGTTAGGCCAATATGAGCCACTGGGGAAGCTATATCTTGCCCAATACTCATCCGATTCTCAATTGGGATACCTTTAACAATTTGTGGAGCGATTCTGCCTTAATCTGCATCAAAATCTGGAAGCAAAATATTTTTTCGATTTTTGTTGATTTTTCTGGGGTGTCCCCTTCAAAAACTGTGAAAATGCAGGTTAGGCCAATATGAGCCACTGGGGAAGCTATATCTTGGCCAATACTCATCCGATTCCCAAATGGAATACCTTTAACGATTTGTGGAGCGATTCTGCATTAATCTGCATCAAAATCTGGAAGCAAAATATTTTTTCGATTTTTTGTTGATTTTTCTGGGGTGTCCCCTTCAAAAACTGTGAAAATGCAGGTTAGGCCAATATGAGCCACTGGGGAAGCTATATCTTGCCCAATACTCATCCGATTCTCAATTGGGATACCTTTAACAATTTGTGGAGCGATTCTGCATTAATCTGCATCAAAATCTGGAAGCAAAATATTTTTTCGATTTTTTGTTGATTTTTCTGGGGTGTCCCCTTCAAAAACTGAGAAAATGCATGGAAGGCCAATATGAGCCACTGTGGAAGCTATATCTTGCCCAATACTCATCCGATTCTCAAATGGGATACCTTTAACGATTTGTGGAGCGATTCTGCATTAATCTGCATCAAAATCTGGAAGCAAAATATTTTTTCGATTTTTTGTTGATTTTTCTGGGGTGTCCCCTTCAAAAACTGAGAAAATGCATGGAAGGCCCATATGAGCCACTGTGGAAGCTATATCTTGCCCAATACTCATCCGATTCTCAAATGGGATACCTTTCACGATTTGTGGAGCGATTCTGCATTAATCTGCATCAAAATCTGGAAGCAAAATATTTTTTCGATTTTTTGTTGATTTTTCTGGGGTGTCCCCTTCAAAAACTGTGAAAATGCAGGTTAGGCCAATATGAGCCACTGGGGAAGCTATATCTTGGCCAATACTCATCCGATTCCCAAATGGAATACCTTTAACGATTTGTGGAGCGATTCTGCATTAATCTGCATCAAAATCTGGAAGCAAAATATTTTTTCGATTTTTTGTTGATTTTTCTGGGGTGTCCCCTTCAAAAACTGAGAAAATGCATGGAAGGCCCATATGAGCCACTGTGGAATCTATATCTTGCCCAATACTCATCCGATTCTCAAATGGGATACCTTTAACGATTTGTGGAGCAATTCTGCATTAATCTGCATTAAAATCTGGAAGCAAAATATTTTTTCGATTTTTTGTTGATTTTTCTGGGGTGTCCCCTTCAAAAACTGAGAAAATGCATGGAAGGCCAATATGAGCCACTGGGGAAGCTATATCTTGGCCAATACTCATCCGATTCCCAAATGGAATACCTTTAACGATTTGTGGAGCGATTCTGCATTAATCTGCATCAAAATCTGGAAGCAAAATATTTTTTCGATTTTTTGTTGATTTTTCTGGGGTGTCCCCTTCAAAAACTGAGAAAATGCATGGAAGGCCAATATGAGCCACTGTGGAAGCTATATCTTGCCCAATACTCATCCGATTCTCAAATGGGATACCTTTAACGATTTGTGGAGCGATTCTGCATTAATCTGCAGCAAAATCTGGAAGCAAAATATTTTTTCGATTTTTTGTTGATTTTTCTGGGGTGTCCCCTTCAAAAACTGAGAAAATGCATGGAAGGCCCATATGAGCCACTGTGGAAGCTATATCTTGCCCAATACTCATCCGATTCTCAAATGGGATACCTTTAACGATTTGTGGAGCGATTCTGCATTAATCTGCATCAAAATCTGGA